GTAAGACGATCTGAATGTACTGAAAGGAGGGTAAAAATTTGAGACTATCGTAAAAGACGTCTTCGCGAGTGGAAAATCCTTTAACTGAAGTAATAAGTATTTGAGTATTTTATTTTACTTAACTTTAAAACTACAATGAACATAGGTACGTGCCAGATGTTAAATGGTTTAATAATTTATACTCATAAGAAAAACGTGTTTGTCTCAAACAAAATAGGTGTAGCCTTTTCTTCTTTTTTTTGGGCAATTACTTAGGTTTTGAAAACTACAATTTTGCCGTGACATTGGCATATGTCGGGACAAACATTATTATGTATATATTTGTGTTGTCTCAATTTGTGATGTCTTTTTTGTTTAAGGTACTCACACAAATAATTTAGCTTAACATTTTAAACTTAAACATTTTTGAATTTTTTAAACCCTGTAAACTTTGTCAAAGCTGATTACGTGACATTGGCGAAATCGTGGTTCTCAAAACCAAGTTGTGGCCAAAATAAAAGAAGAAGAAGAACATGACCGTCACTGGTTGGGTTTTTATTGGCGGTCAAGCTGTAGATCCTGGCTACACATGAGTTGCAGCGATGGGAACGGGAGGTGGGAATAGTCCCGTCACGTATGCCATGTAGATAGAGCCTTGAGTGGCTAGAAATCATCTTTCTTTGACAAGATTTGAGCAACATTTTTGGTGCAATATTGGACCTATACAACTATAATATGCCGCAGCGTTTCGCATAATTGTTTTAAGCCTTTGTAATGCAATTATAAATGTAAGGGCGAAATAGCAACGCTAATTAATTCGACTTAACTTCTATAATGAACAATCAATAAGTCTAATTGGATTGGGAGTTGGTGGTAATCGGAGCAAACAATGATAATAAAACTGTCTTGTTTGCCTTTTCAAATTGTATCGTTGAAATAATCAAACGAAATATCCTATTTTAATTTATTAAAGTAGGTACATTAGAGCTATTGATCTAATGACCACTTGTGGTTTTATTGGAACATGTGAGTCACACAATAAAACTGAATTTCTTTAGTAGAATTTTACTGTCCAATAAAGGGATTCTTTTTTTAAATGTTCCTTGAAGTCCAAGGATGTTTTTACGGCGAGAAAAATTCGAATAGTTTCCAGGAAAACACTGAAAAACAGCCTATTTTTGCGGAAAGCTAGTTTATAATAAAAGTGGAAGTGGAATGACCCGAAGAATTTTTCAGTTTTATTTTTAAAATTAATTGCTGCTGATGTCTAGAAGACACAAATTCATTCAAATTCAGCCAATCGTTCCATATAGCCATAGATGTTTTGCGCGAATATTTTGGGTCCCCTATAATAAATAATCCCAGAACTATTGGACCAAAGGCAATTTAAGTGGGCGAGATAGGTGACCTGCTAAATGCGACAAAGGACGGCCAAAACCCGATAGAAAGGTTTCGGTTCAAATTGAATAAATAAAATGACCGGTACGGATTCTCAACCTCCAATTAAAATATAGACCGTTGTTACTTGATAACTTATGAAAAAATGCTGTAGAATAGGATGTGATATTAAGTTTTTATTATTATGCTAATTTGAGGAACAGTGAAAGAAAAGGTGATTGATATATGTACATATTTTGAAACAACCACCAATTTAAAATTCTAGATAAAAGTAAGTACATTAATGAATGGATGAAGAAATAATTTAACCCTTATTCAAATGCGAGCTGGTATGCATTTTTTTTACAAAGTTAAAGTGCATTTTGGGTAATTGTGGGTCACTTATTTCATATTTTTGATCAAAATTTATTAAAAAATAGGGGTAGGGGTAGTTTTTTGGGTGGTAAATAATTTACCATTATCCATTCATGACTACAAATTATTCAATGTTGGTGGTAAAATAGTTACCATTGTCCGTTTTGGTTTATTTTTGGTTCTTGACTAGTGACTTCCTCTTGGTTCTACCTATATTTTATTAAATATTTTGGGAATGAAATAATATTGTTTTTATAAAAATAATATTTATTAATATTGGTCATTATGCTTACAATTATTATGCTTACCTTGAGTCTGAAACTAACAATAAATTCACTAATTACGTAATGTCAAAACGTTACGTAAGCAGTTATCAAAATAACTTAAAATTTCTCCAAATATTTATTAAGTTATATTTGTGCACATACAAAAAACAACAGTTATTTTTATATATCATCAAACTTTTGTCAAGACGGGATCGGACAGTGGTAAACTATTTACCACTTCTTTAAAATGTCTTAACTATATGAATAAATTAATTGTAGACGCTGCCTATAAGTGAGACTATACAATAAATGTTTTAGTTTAGGATTTTGAATCAAAAAAACACTTATCAGAATTTTCGTTGAACAAAGTTTCAAAAACACCAAAAACGCGCGCTAAAAACTTGAAATTTTTCACACCAAAACCGTTTGGTTGACTTTGACATTACCTGACAGTGACAGATGACGTTGAAAAGTTGTAAGATGGCATAGATAAGTAAAAAAATATATTTAAAAATATAAATAAGTGATCACGATATCTTTAAGTATCACCATATCGAAAATTAGGATCCTTTTTTAAAAGTAAACGAAGTGGTAATATATCTACCTTTATTTGAATAAGGGTTAAGTTGGACAAAAGTTTTGGAATCACTGTATTTCTAGTTCAATATCCGTATGTGGTTTTCATTTTGGAATGTTAGGAAATTACTTATTTCGTTTAAAATGAAATAATAGTGTTTTCTTGTTTATAACATTTGAATAGAGTGAAGTATATTGTGGAATTTCCTCGTGGAAAATGTACGTTCTGCAAATCGACTGGAAACAGCGCGAGCAAGTCAAAATGTTCTTAGCAAGCAAAAACCTGATGGTAAGTGACGATCAGGCCGAAGGTGGAAGCGAGCTTCACCCGGAATCCTCAACCACGGATGAACTGGCTATCTTACCTCTAACTGCCGGAACATTGCTGTTAACATTGTTGTTATGGCGACAGACTTAGGTAAGATGGTGGTAGCTAGCTAGGCGGACTTATAACAAGCCCTACCACCAACCAAACCGAACTGCCCCCACTGGGAATCGAACCCGGGACCTCTGCGTCTGAAGCAGGTGGTCTTACCACTAGACCACAGAGGCGGTTATCTAACTAAATTCTTCTTGGGAAGCCCATGAAGAACAAGAAAATTGTTCAATGTCATATGTCGTAGTCTTTGCCTCTTGTCCTTTGGAAAGAACGTACCTTTAATCCCACGATAATATTTAAATCGAAGAGAAAGTGACTTCTCTTCCCATAAGTACACTTAAACCAAGTACCAATTGGAAATTATTTTATTTTGAAAAATGTAAGTGTTTAAGTTTTAGCGAACCGGTATAATGTAGGACGTTGCCGCGTTGGTGACAAATTAATGTTTTCGACTTCGGCTATTCGCTGGGTGCGAAGTACTAGGTGGGGGTAACATAATCGATCGCAGCGCTCATGGTGGTCAAAAGTAGAAATATTGTAAGCTCTGTTATCAGATGTATCTGTCAATGGCAAAGCGATTCTACATACCTAATACATTTTAATATCATTAATTAATCGCATGAAAAGGGTCATACTGGGAACTTAAATAAAAGAGTGGACTGTATTTCGATAGGGCTGGTTTAATAGCCGTTTACAATTTGGAAATAACTAGACTATACAAACAACGTGGTAGTACAAAAATGAGTCACAGTAGTTGTTGTGCACAGATGTTTGCCTTATGATGAGAGCGTGAATTATTGAACTCTCCGCTTGTTTAGTTCTTAATTCTTCTACATCTCGGACTTGTCCAGCCAATACCAACAACTTTCCTTTAAATACGGTTTGTGGTTGGAATTTGATATTGTAAAACTCACAAACCCGGTCCATGAACCCGGTCTTCAAAACAATACTCATTTCGATCTGAAAACGATATTTATTACTAGTGATACAGGAACATTAAATATATTTACTGTTATATAATGAAACTGTTAAAGTAGCTTTTTCTTTTTGTTTTACTGTAAAACTACAACTATAAATGAAGTAAACAAACCCTGACACAATCAAAATTAAACACACTTTTTGGACTTACTTCATTTTATTTGAATGACCAAAATTATTTCAAAACCTTTTTTCCACCCAAATCGTGGTAGGTATCACAACAATTTATTAGTTGAAAATATTTGTTATTTTTTCATTTCGATATTTTTTCACAAATAGACGACCTAAATGTCAATGTGACAGAGCCCACAAAGTCGTGGACGCTAGTTGGCGCTGTAATCGTGCACAGAGCCAATATTTAGCGGAATCTATTAAACTTAATGATCAGAACTCGAAGCGATATATCAGCGGAAATTAACTGCAAATCGATTTTGCAGATATACAGTACATTCGCAAGCACATCATACTATACATTTAAGTCATTACCTATGTGGGTATTAGGCAGCGTTGCCAGTTTTTTTTTTCGCCAAGTCGGGACTTAGGTACTTTTTGAGTGAAAATAGCGGGATTCTTCCGTCAGAAGCGGGACATAGTAAAAAAACGTATATATAATCAAAGGTTTTCAAATATTTATCTTTTTATTTGACTTAAAATTACGTTTACGTGACAATAGATAGCAAAATTGGCCATTGAAAATGTATTTTAACAAAAAAATAATATTTTAAATCAGATTTACTCTATCGTTAAATTCGTCTTTAGAATAAAAAAAGAATAAAATTAAAAAAGTTTTATTCTTTAGAATAATATGGCGTTTCAAACAATAGTCTGTTGAAGTGAGTGTCTCTCTCCGAAAAGCGGGACCGAGCCTGTCCCGCGCGGGACATTTAAATTTTATTTAAAAATCGGGACGTCCCGCCAAAATCGGGACGTCTGGCAACGCTGGTATTAGGTATCTGATCAAACTATTAATTTATGTTGAATATTTTGTAATTTAATTGGAACCTAATATAGGTAGCACGTAAATTATTAAGAGTGATAAAACTTTCATAAATCAACGTAATCGCACTTACTCGAACTATAAAGTGGTCATCGAAAAGGCTGCTTACCTGAAAGAAACAAGAGAAAACATTAATTTAAAAGTAGTGATAAAATTCATTAATTGAAAATTCAAAATAATTCACACTGAGGTCAGGTCAGTCAGAGAGGCGAAAGAAGTAAATTAGTCGCAAAAGGGTGAATATTGTGTCAATCAAGAGAGGTGATTTAAGGCATTACAAGCGGGAATCGAACGTCATTTATAGACCTAATGTTGTGTCCAACTCATCGGCCCCACACAAAGGCCCGACGCCCTACACGAATCTTGCGGCGACAATCGCCAGTGATCAATCACTCATCTGTCAAAATCAGGCGGCAATAAAAAGTCCCGAATAGAACGCACACTTTACTCATCTATGACGTTCTGAATTTGTATTTTGAAAATTAAGTCTGCAAAGAGTTAACATTACAATAAAAAATATAATTCCGACCGCGAAAGCCAAGAAATTTTTTTTTTAAAACAAGAAGTGGTGACCCTTTTTGTTTCGGCCTAGAAATTCAATACATACAGTCATATCTCGAACTCAAATATTTAGCATAGATAGAGTTTTAAAACTAAAAAAACATAAACACAATCGAACGAATTCCGTTCGGTTTGTTGTTCGTTGATAAAAATTTTCACTTGACGAAACTGTCATACGAATTTTAATGGCTCTCTGTGTGCCTACCATGAGTTTACGTTAGGTGTGCTCGCTAGCGACTGCGTAAAAAAATTACATTTAAATGTATGACATATTGTGCAGCGCCCCTAGTGGCTACTTTCAAGAAATAGGATCTTCATAGAATTTTTTGACGTATTCGCTAGCGAGCTCACCTAACGTAAACTCATGGTAGGCACACTGTTTTTGAACAAAAAATAAAAATTCGGTCACAATTGTATTAGTTCGGAAAAGTTGAATCGTAACATTCGTGTGGAATACCGAACGTAGGTTTGGGAAGTTTATTTATGCATAGCGTAGCCCATGTTAGTCTGAATTCAAACTAATCACATCTCTGTATTTACAATACTGGCACGTTTTATTTCAAAGAAAAAAAGAATTAAACAAAAGCTTTGGAAGAAAAAAGGTTTTATTTTTTTAAATCACAGCATTATCACGGAAACGCTCGGAGCTAGAATTCGTTTAATTAGTTTCTTATAAATAAAAAAAAAGGAAAAACGTTAAATAATGACATGGACATTGCATGCATGGTGCAAACAGAACAATGATAAATGCATTTCAGTTCTAATATGATATCATAGGCCTATGATTTATTAATAGCTACTAGAGAGGATATGAGAGGAGTTGAACACTTTTGCTCATAAAATGAGGAAGTGGCAGTCCTTTATTTTTTTTTATGCTACACAAGGCAGGTAGGTATTTGACCGCAATCGCACCTGGTGATAAGTGAGGTGCAGTCTAGGATGGTACATATTTGCCCTGTAAGTGCCTATTCACTCTCGCCTTGAAAACGCCCGGAATATACCTAGTGTTCAGGAAATACAACAGCAGGCAGCGAATTCCAGTCCCTAGCTGTTCGCATTATAAACGAGTCGTCGAAACGTTTAGTGCGAGTTGATAGTAATTTTGTTGCGGTTATATTAAACGAATCTTATTTATAAACCATTGTTCTACTAACTCTATCGCAAACAGTAACTCAGTAGCTACTGAGAATTCCAGATAACTCTGTTTTATGAGCTAACAATGATAACATTAGTCTGAAATATTATCTTTTGGGAAAGTACCTACTTATTCAGTACCATAAAAATAATTTTACAGTTTCATAACTACTATTTTTTGTGTTATGTAAATTCTTCAGCATTCAATAAACAACAACAACATTTGTCACTTTGGTACAGTTACCCCAGTTTTAATGAAATTAGGGGTAAAATTTCCCATTTCTCATTTCACCCGACTGTACCTGCACTCTCTAAACTGTAACGTTATCTTTTCGCAGGTTATTACAACTGTAATACGTCATTATACATTTAAACCGACGTGTCTAATATTTTGTTCATTGTTTTATACGTAAGGCCATAGAGTCGAAAATTGCACAGAATTGTAAGGCATCCGAGGATAATGAGTGTGGGTTTCGTTTCAATTAAGATAATGCTGACCGGCCAGGGTTGTCGTTTGTTACACGTGTATCATGGCTAATAATAATACACTATCGATCAGCACGAAGGCATTATTATTAATTTTATTGCAGTGCTTCTAGCAGTTGCGTATTCTAATCAATGGCTATAAGGCTTGTATCACATAACAAAGCTCAAAACTCGATTCAGTCTCAAGAATGTAATCTGCCTGTGCTGTGATTGGGCTCAAAATTAAAAGTCAATCAGTCAAAAGTATTACGCTTGAAATGTAATCTAATTTTAAGCTTTGTTCTTAAAACGCAACTAAGAATTAGAGAGGGAAACGGAAGTATTGTTATCCTCGTCTAGTGGTTAAGTTTAAAGTTTTCTTTTTCTTGCTACCCCGCACCGTAATGAGACCCTACCTAGAATTTTAGTCGGATCTCAACAATTTTTACTTGAGCAAAAGATTAAAACTCGATTCAAACTTAAGCATGGATTAAAGGCTGTCATTAGTTGAATTTTAATATTTTGGTCAAATTTGTTCTTTGGCAATAATAAAATAAGTAAAAATAACATCATTGTTCGCTAATCTCATTAAAAACCGAAAAAAATACCACAAATTTGTTTTCAGGTTCCAAAATGAGCTCTAAGGGGTTTTGGCCTAATTTCCATATAATTCCACCCACAAATGAAGAAGAATTATCTTTGCACAGCCCTACACACTGCCTCTAAGCAGTGAATAAACAATTGTTTTTGTTTACGACGTAATATAACGATATTTCGGTAATAGCGTTAGTTTTCGGGTTCTACCGCCCGAGTTACGGCGGGTTATGTCGAGATAAAATGCACAGTTCAAGATAGTTTGGTCAGAAAGTTAACTTTATTTTAACAATTTAGGTCACGTGCGTTTTAGAAAAATAAACAAAAAAGGCGTCCTATTCGAAGATAAGATTATAAATAATTCTATATTTATTACAATATTATCTTTAATCTAAAAGATTAAAACATATTAATGACATGACATTATTCAGCCTATCAACTTATTACTATTTATACACCCGTGTGAACATTATTACATAATGATGATTATAATTTATCAGAGTAATTTCAATATTTTAAAATTTATTCTACTTATATCAGAAACGAAAACACTCGATTGAAATGTTATTAAAAAATCATGATATTACAGTGAGGAAGAAATAAGACAAAAGCAAATAAGCTTGTCGATATCCTCTCTTCAAATGAAAATTTCCAACTGTCAATGATAATGATTAGATGTCCTTTTCTCAACAGTAATAAACAAAATTGGCTTTTGTTTCAAAAACAAAAAATCTCAGCGTCCGAGCTATATTTAGCGATTTTCGACATTCCGTCAAACAAGAACGTTGTTTTTTAACCTTTGAAAGGTAGATGAAGACTAAACAGCTGGTACTTTCAGCTTAGTCTGCCGGCAATGAACTTTGACATTGGCCAGCTGAACTAGACCGCCCGAAAAAGTTTACAAAACAAATTAATTACGTATTTTCGGGCATGATATTTAGAGCAGCTAGAGAAAATATTATTTTGTTTACATTTAACAACTTTCTGCGGTTTATGAATCTGATTTAACATCGAAAACTTTACACACACAAGGATAGGTACATTAAAATACTGGCTGTGAAAGAACAACATTGAAACAATTAACATGCAGCCTCGTAGCTTATTATAAGGAAAGGCCGGTCGATATTTCCATCAGTTGTTTCACATAACCTCAAAACACAAACCATACCTCACACTCGAACGCAACTACGTCACCGGTCAGTCGCGTGCGAGGCCACAAAGCCCGCCAAATAATGTGGGGCGTTTACCAAAAGTAAAAAGAAAACACTGGCTGACACGAAAACTGCCCAATAATAATAAAAAACAATCTAAAAGCGCGATATCTGAGATCTCGCGTGCAACAATCTCGTGGATTAAGGTGTAAAATCGCGTGACGTTGAATTTAAACAACAATAGGTGCACGTACCTCGCCGCGGCGTGACGGGACGACCACGCTGGAGGGAGTGACAGGAAAGGGCCAGCCTTGGAAACCAACCTCCGCGCCAATATTTGCTCCAACGTTTGATTTATGAAGACGAGTAATTTGAATGTCCTGTTTACTTGTGGTAATATTTTTTTGGAATATTAAAGTATATTTATGGCCACAATGTTCATGCTAAACGTGGTTAAAACTATGTTTTGATTATAATATACTCCACCCACGCGGACGAGACTGGACGTGTTACGTAAAATACTTAGAAAACATTAATGTTAGATAAACAATGTCCGCACCAAACAATGCATTGAAGACACTTTGTCACGTGTCTTCATAAAAGACATTATAACAAAGGGCGCTATTGAAAGGCACCTTAACCTACAAAAACAGCGTCACATGATACGCGACAACCCCGTGCACTTAGCATCACTACTCTATAACTCTATAAATAAAACAAGGTTCTATTACTGAAGGAATGGGATGTCCCGTCTCGCGCAGGTTTGGCCCAACTGTAAAGGGGTTGGGCGGGTTGGGCCAACGTTGGGCGGGCGGCGACGGACACTCGGCATACACTCCGTCGCGGCGTCCCGGGGTGGAAACACGCGTGTTTCGATTCCCGGCAAACTTTCCCGCGCGATCGTAGTGACAGTGTCGGAAGTTCGGAACGTATTGAATTCGTTTTTTGAATTTGAATTTTTCGCATATTTCAAACTGTTTGGTTAGTTGGTTTTTGAAGAGCGTGTGTACGAAAGGTGGGTATGTAAAATTTATGAAAAAAATATTACATGTTATTATTAAGTCACGGGTCATTTAAAGAAATCGCTGAAACTTTTTATTTGCACATAAAAATTTTTTTCGAATAAAAAGTATGTGAAATGGCCATTTATTTATATTTGCCGCAAAAATATTAAATGAAAAAAAGAGTTCAAGTTTTTCCCCTTTTTAAATCTCCCTAAACGAACTTCTAACTAAAGTGTGGTATAAAATGTGACCAAATGGAATTACATAAACTATAAATATCCTAAAAGGTACTTTATTTTAATCAAGATCATATCACCATAATACAAGTGATTTATTGACGATGTTACATATTTATCAATGTGAAGCTTTCAAATAATGCATGAAAATGGGGATGTTGCCTGGGTCAAAAAGCAAGAGTTTTAATTAGTCCGTCAGTTAACTTATCAAAAAATACTCTACACGTATTTTTCACTTTTTCAAACTAATGAAAATTTAAAGAGATAAAGCGCCCCAAAGTTCATAAGAAGAGGCCCGTGACGTCAACGCTTGCTTAAAAATGCCGCACGTTGTGACGTCGTGCGCAACTTCAACGCACCATAACTATGTAATTATTTGTTAGATTGACAAATAAAAATATATGTGTCCAATATTTTTTGATATTAAACATTACGGACTAAAAAAATTTTTTTAGGCAACTAGCCTATTAGACATATACTTACTTAGGGCTGATTTTTCAAACGTAGAATAACTTTTAACTGAATAATGAATTAGACACATTGTCTGTTTCTAATCTAGGCTAGTAGTTTAGTAGTACTTAGTAGGCCAGAGTTTGACTATAGTTTTGAGAATATAAACTTTCTTAAACTTTAAAGAATAAAACTTCTATGCTTGTGAAAAATTACAAACAAATGACAAAAGTAATTCATCCCTAGTTTTATTAAGTGAAATAAAATGCTCTATAATCACCTTCCCTCAAAAACTGCAAATTCAAGGTAACTATGACATTTAAAAACACAAATGACGGTAAAAAAGCTTAACTGCCAACTAATCTACTTCGTTAAACACATGATTCGCTTAAAACTTTCCCGACATGCACTCTACACGCCCGCGTCCTGCGCCCTTCGGCGAATGCGTCAAATCTATTTATAGCCTCCATCGGATTTCAGGCATCGAAACATATTGGATTGGATCTGTCGCATCTTTAATATAATAAACTGTACATGCAGTGTGTTTTTGAATACTTGAAGAATTTTGAAAATAACTTGAAGAATTGAGAATTGAGAATCTGAACGACATACATTTTTAATAACTAAATACTGAAATAAATTTTTCATAAGTTATTTACCTAGAAAATAGAACGAAGAACATAAAAAATAGGAGGTGATCAAAAAAGTGATTTTAGAGAATGATATAGATGATTAATATTCCCGTTAAAATAATATTTGTTTCTTTTTTACATAACTTTTTAATTGCAATAAAAGCACTAATGATTCGGTCAATTGACTCCAAAATAGACACATTTTTTCCCACATGTTATAGCGTCCTTCAAGTAAATTTTTAGTGAAGCCAGTTAGGCGGTAGTTAGGAGCTATTAATGATTCGGGGGTGGTGCATGAGCATGACTGGCGGGCAACGATAATACGGTTGATCAACGCCTCACAAAGGGCAAAGTCACATGATGGTTTTACGTGGACGGTTGATACGGCCATGCAAGCGCCCAGTGTACCTACCATGAGTTTACGTTAGGTGTGCTCGCTAGCGAGTACGTCAAAAATCTCTATGAAGATTTTGTTTCTTGAAAGTAGCCGCTAGACGACGGATTGTACAGCGCCCCTAGCGGAAACTTACAAGAACTGAAATCTTCATACATTTTTTTAAAGCGCTCGCTAGTGACGAAGTTTGATGTAAACTCACACTAAGCCCTCAGGAGTCTAATCGATATTCCACGTGAACCTTGAAGAAAAGTTATGGTGATAAAGTTTTGGAGTAGTGCGCCTTCGACTTATTGGTTAAAATAGGTATCATTTACTTCATCAACAAGACTAGTAATAATGGCTACCTTAACTTATTTAAAGTTATGAAGGGAAAAATGGTCGGACCGGACAGTTTAGGATAATAACTCTACATTTATGTTAGTTATTAAAGTAAGTCTGTGTGTATACGTATTACAAAACAAAATCGAAACTACTTAGTTTTATTCACAGTCGTATACTGTCTTGTGATTGACATAAATGTACTTATTTAACTAAAATTCAACAAATCAAAAACCTCAAGTTCAATATTTCATCGAGTTTTAAGTTTTATACGCAACTTTAAAGAAAATCCCAACACCCTGTTTATTTTAGGTAGAAACAAAACATACACAGTGGCCTTCTAATCCACTAGAGCACTATTAATAATTCGCCTGTCCGTCACGAATGCTCATATGAAACATTCATGATTTACACCTGTAATAAGCCAAGAAATTTCATATCCTTTGTACGAATTACCTTGTCTAGGTGCTCCCTTTGATTAATTGTATGGTGTAATAAACTTTGGGTCAGGCTTGAACTGCGCGAAAAACATGTGTAATCTTTGGAAGTTGTGATTTGATTAGCCCATCGATGTAATTATGAAGAGAAAGCAGTGCTACACTTTTCAAAATACTTATGAAGTAATTCTTGAATTGTCAGGGAAGATAACTACGAAGGCTGGCTTGCACCATCTTACTTTGATTTTATACGTCAAAAGTCTGTCAAAATCCATACAAAAAACACCGGTTGTTGTTGTTATAGTTACGGTTAAAGTAGGATAGTGCAACTCAGCCTTAGAAGCCTGACATGACTGTTTAAGATTTAGCTTGTCTATCCTAAGGGACAAAGTATAAGCACCCATGTTTTTGCCTTGAAACACAAGGCTTTTTTCTTCAAGTTAACGGTAGTAGTAGGTAGGATGACACCAGACAACGCTAAATTGGCCCCAAGTCCTAACAAGGGCTGGCAGCGAATTTGTAAGCGTCCGCTTAATTAGAAATATTGTTGTTCTTTCAAAGGCATTCTCCAGTTAGATCACGCGCCATTCACAATCGACAAAAGTCGAATTCGTCATTCGGAACGAAGCGGTTCGAATCCAATTAAGCTTAACTTTTGGTGAAGTATTCGGAATGTATAATTTTGTTTTTGTTTCAGATGTGCCATCGCGCAGTGAGTTGAGAATACTGGCTGGAAAGAAAATGACAGTGAACTCTTTGGAAGAAAAAGTAAATTTTTGAAAAAGGAATAAAAGTGACACGTGATTTAGTGGCGGGCGGCAGTCGCACAGGCGGCGCCGCGGTGTTCGGTGGTGGCTCGCGGGCGTTGCTGGTGGCTGGTGGGCGTGGGCGCCGTCGGGGCGCAGCGGAGCCCGCTCGGCTGGGCCATGGGCAGCTCCCAGCGTCTAGCAGCCGTGGCTGCTGTCTCCCACGCGAGACACTACTACAACCACACGCAGCCAGAAGTTGTTCAGACTGAGGCAACGCATTACACTGTCAATATATTCTTTGTCAGGTTTGTATTCTTCTCTAGTTTTGCAATTTACTTGGACCTAAAAATCTTTACAATTTCCACAATTTTAGAAAACACAACATAATTTCAATTAAACTGCGATCTCTAACCCGCCTGGCAAGCTTGGAGTTTATGTCAAAACCGTTCACTAAAGAAGAGGCTCACAGCCCAGCAAAGGGCTGTTGATGATGATGATGACACCATAATTTACTTAGTGGTAGGTTTTAGTGACAGTTCAACTAAATTATCAAACACACTTCTCCTAAAGTTTGATAAGAAATTCACGCTCTATCCCGAACACGACACTAACTCTGCAGTTATTGGTTGTGAAATAGCCAATCACGTATGAAGATGACCACCGCCATCAATTCGTTCACCGTTAAAGCAGGGTCAGTCGGTCCTTGACATGTAGGTCTTCCCAGTAACACGGATTTTTATTTATTTCACGAATGACTAATAACTGTTGCATCGTAAAGTAACGCTCAACTGTGATTTGAAAATACTAGGTGCATAAACCCCGGCTGAAGTACCTCGTAACGTTTTACGATGATAACAAGACATGCGGTGATGGCCAGTGGCGGTATACGGCTGGCCACCGCTTTTATGGTGGAATGAATTTTTCACTCGGTCTCTCACAAGATTTACAGCTGGGATTAAACATGGCACCTTAAACGGTAAAGGGTAAAGGGATATCTTCGCATTAAAATTTACGCCGAAGTAGCAGGTGCGCGGGACTTTCTTAAAATTAAATGTACTCGAAAAACCCTCTTCAACAATTAATTTGAAGTTTTGGTTCCCTTTTCAACTTCATTTGCGGTCATCGGTCTCGGTTTCTATAAAATAATAGTATTGATTTGGTAAGTTACATTTTGTATTAGGTGGAAAATCTATAAGAATACATTTTTTTTCATAAAATACAAGAACAAATGGACAAAAAAGAAAAATACAGCACACAATTAATTAAATTACCAATCGATACGAGACCACTTCAACGATTGCTTTTTGTTTTACAATTCAAAGCTGCAGAGTGGCCTTATCTGTAAGCTCTATTTTTACAACAAAACTAGAACGAAATAGCCTATGGTCAAGAATAGGGATGTGTTTCACCGAGTTACCTATTCCGAGCTAGACGTCTTGAAAGTCCCAAAATAGAGGTGACTCGAGTCGGACTGGACAGAACAATTACATCTGTCAAAGTTCCAGAATGCTAATTCTGGAAATAGAAAAACCTAACTAAACTTAGTGCACGGAACAAACCACGTGAAAGAGTTATTAAAACTTTTGGCATTAAAAAACATTTTTGAACGACTGAAGTTTTGGAAGTAACAGACCATTTAATTAAATCTTAGGAAGTTACACTTTTATGTTTTTTTGCGAAATTTAAAGAAAGAATTACATAAAAGAAAGAAATAGAAAAAAAAAACATTGCATAAAACGAATAATGAAACTCCTAGGATACATCCCGTACTATAAAATAAATTCAATACTTATGTCAATTCAAGAGCTCTATTCTTACAGCGAAACTAAAACACAATAACTTTTCAATGGTCAAAAAGAATTCGACAGTGTTGTACCTGAATATTTCTATTCCAAGCTAGTTCATCTTGATAGGTCGTCCAAAGTGGAAAGGATCGGGCTCAACCACACAACTAACTGTCTCGACACAACAATTACAAACTGTCATAAGTTTCTGAGCTACATATCTGTGAAATTCATATTCGGCTACACACAGAGCCAGCTTCTTAGTTCAACAATAGTAAGAAGTCACTGAATTTTATCGAATGAATTCGGTTTGCACATTAATAATCCTTAAAAATCATTTTTAACAACGATTCATTTGTAGTAGAGTAATATTTCGTGCCATATTCTCGAATTAACTCTATTCTACTTACGATTACTTTTAGAAAAATTGTAATCGACATTGATAAGTGTTTAAATCTCAACCAAGACTACCACCGAATAATAGCAGCTAATCTCGAGTTTGTAGTGTCTTTAAATGCTTAACATCTCACAGATCGGGTATTGAAACAAAGTTTTATTTATCTATTAAACCCCCTTTCTAGTAAAAAGTTACACATACGTGTACAAACAGTAGGTTAAAAATTTTCATTAATTTCCATATTAAACTTCACTATAAACAGGTGTCCTTAACAAGAACAATAATTTTTGAGGCCATCTTACTTGATATCATCATTGCTAAAAAGTCCTACAAACATACTAGCCTAAAAATGTTTTTGCCCCAAAATGTATCAGTGCTAGCTCTAAGCCTACAGGGTTGGATTCAATTTTAGTGATCGCTGTTGGTCGCTAATTCGACACGTGAAGCCAATTTGTGGCTGATTGGTATAGCGCGCGTCATGGTCTTTTGAGACTGCCCGTAAGTGGATTAGGCAAGCTTTTGCTTAGGATCTTCTGGGGAAAAACAATTAATTACTGGTTTTTGGATGGAATATTTTGTCTTTTTGTAGTTGGACTGAATATTGATTTAATAACAATATTAATACACGTGAAGCCAATTTGTTGCTGCATGGTATAGCGCGCGTCATGGTCTTTTGAGACTGCCCGTAAGTGGATTAGGCCAGCTGAGAATAGGAAGTTTTTGCTTAGGATCTTCTGGGGAAACAATTAATTACTCGTTTTTGGAAGGAATAGTTTGACTTTTTGTAGTTGGAGTGAATATTGATTTAACAACAATATTAATACAGGTGAAGCCAATTTGTGGCTGCTTGGTATAGCGCGCGTCATGGTCTTTTGAGACTGCCCGTAAGTGGATTAGGCCAGCTGAGAATAGGAAGCTTTTGCTTAGGATCTTCTGGGGAAACAATTAATTATTCGTTTTTGGATGGAATATTTTGTCTTTTTGTAGTTGGACTGAATATTGATTTAATAACAATATTAATACACGTGAAGCCAATTTGTGGCTGCTTGGTATAGCGCACGTCATGGTCTTTTCAGACTGCCCGTAAGTGGATTAGGCCAGCTGAGAATAGGAAGCTTTTGTTTAGGATCTTCTGGGGAAAAACAATTAATTACTGGTTTTTTGGATTGAATATATTAGTTTGTAGTTGTATTGAACACTGATTTATCAATATTAATGCACGTGAAGCCAATTTGTTGCTGCTTGGTATAGCGCACGTCATGGTCTTTTGAGACTGCTCGTAAGTGGATTAGGCCAGCTGCAAATAGGAAGCTTTTGCTTAGTATCTTCTGGCGAAAAACAATTAATTACTGGTTTTTGGATGGAATATTTTGAGTTCTTTTTGTAGAACTCTGATTTAACAATATTAATACTGCCCGTTACTAGATTAGGTCAGCTACTTTTGCTAAGGATCTTTTGGCGAGGAACAATTAATTGTATAATGATTTTTCTTATATTTTTTACCTTCATGTTGTAACTGCATGAAGTAATGATTCAACAGATCATCATGAAATCGACGATTAGTAGTACTCTATACTCTAATATACGTAAGAGTTGTGGTTTTCGAAAAATACCTATAGGAAGTAATTTTAGCCTCATGAAAAAATAATCAGTGATTTCATATAAAAAAACAAATGTTTGGATCTACACACAAAAAGCAAAGAAATTAGTAATAGGTTTATCCACGTTAAAACCATTTAAGTACAGTCACCTACGAAAACGAGTCTTTCGTAGTTGAAATAAAAGAGATTAAAAAATAAGTATGGCAATCCAAAAAATTATGAGTAGGTCGAAGGTGGCAGCCAGTTTCACCTGGAACACTCAACTAGTGAGCATTGTGGTAGCTATCAAGGCGGACTTAAGATACGCCCAATTACCAACCAAAAAACTTTGTCCCTCTGGGAATCGAGCCGGGAATCTCTGGATCGGAGACTGGTCTCATCATCAGGTCATTTAGTCTCTATTTCAGGATCACGACCCTCTCTAATTTACCACAGGCAAATGAAGGATTTGCCCTACATTCCCCACGCTGGCCAGACGGGTTAGGGAGACTGGATTAAAAGGTTAGAAGAAGAAATCTTGGAAAGGATGTTTCCTGGTTAAAAAAGCAAGAGTTTTAATTAGTCCGTCAGTTAGCTTATCAAAAACTACTCGACACGTATTTTTCACTTTTTAAAACTAATGAAAATGTAAAGAGAAAGAGCGTGCCAAAGTTCTAAAGAAAAGGCTCATGACGTCAGTGAGTACGTAAAAGTGCAGCACTTTGTGACGTCGCGCTGAACTTCAACGCACTATAACTTTGTAATTATTTGTTTGATTGACAATTAAAAACATACGTGTCCAGTATTTTTAGGGTTCCGTACCTCAAAAGGAAAAAACGGAACCCTTATAGGATCACTTTGTTGTCCGTCCGTCCGTCTGTCAAGACCCTTTATCTCAAGAACGCGTGAACGTATCAAGCTGAAATTCACATGAAATACTCAGGTCTATTGTCCCTTTAAGCTGTGAAAATATCAAACTTCTAAGCCAAGCCAATCAAAAGATACAGCCGATTATGTCGATATTTTCAACAAATTTTCGACACTCGCAAAGGAATCAAAACCTACAGGATACTTCCCGTAAACTCAGAATCTTGAAATTTGGCATAAAGCATTGTCATATAATGCAAATATAGGAAAAATTGCGAAAATTACATTTTTTTAGTTATATAATATAATAAAAATATTTTAATAAAATGAAACTTACTACCTTATTTCTCACGAACGAATAAAGGTATCAAATTGAAATTTACACCAAATACCTAGATCTATTGTCCCTTTAAGAAGTAAAAAAATCAAACTTCTAAGTTAACGCGATCAAAAGATACAGCAGTTTATACCGACACCTTAAGACGAATTTCCGTCACACGCTATTATGACTCGATTGTCGTAATGAACGAACTTTGTAAACCTTGCAGGTTTGTACGGAACCCTCGGTGCGCGAGTCCGACTCGCACTTGGCCGGTTTTTTTTATATTAAAAATGACGGACTAAAAATTTTTTTTAGTAAACTAGCCTATTGTTCTGAAGCCAACTGTACCACCCGC